TGTGTGGGCATTTTCATATTTGTTGTTGATATAAGAAGTTGACAACAGTGAGATTTTATGAGTTTTCTCGAGGTACTATCTTCTGAATATAGACAAATATATGCAAGAGCATTATAAAAGACATTCAATCAGAATTCAGCTATCTACTGTATTTTTACTCGGATTATATATAGTTATCTGTATTATTTATGATTGAATCTTAATTAACATTTTTGTCTTTATCATGTACATTCAGAAGGTACTAGCAATGTAAATAAGTTTTACTAAAAAGTAACTGTATAGATTGCATTAACTTTTGCCGCATACTGCCAAGTGCCACTCCCATGTTAATGTTTGTTTTCTGATGTACAAGTAGGTTTCTTATTTTGATCTTGATCTTTATAACTCATAATTGTGTACATTTCACATGTGGCTGTTCAATTGGATTGGAAGTTGAACTTCATTAGTTATTTAGCACGGATAAGACCACACAATGTTTATAATTTGGGATGAGTCAACTCTATCTTTCAAAGACAGCTTATAAAGATGATTTTTTGTCATTTATATTCATATATTCTAGTTATATTTAGTTGTTCCCTTCATGTTAACTTTTCACACAATTTACTTGCATTCTGTTTTGGTTGATACTTTATTACGTGCATGATGCGGTTCGCACAATGTTATCTTAGTTTCTTTTGAATTGTCACTGTTAAGGTGTTCATGTATATGTGCGTTGTTGTACGGTGTTTTACGGTTTGGTGTTGTTTAGTTTGGACAGTATAATTGTGTATGTATTAGCCACAAGAGAACTCTCCTTTAAATTTTGTTCCGAATCAGGTTGATAAAGACGAATTGTTTTAGAATCGATTTTGCTGTTAGCGACGCTCATTGTTTTGTTAGCACGAAGTGTGTTTGTGCTCAAATTCATGTGAATTCCTTTAGGAGATCTCGTCTTTTCTTGTCTTCTAGATTAAAACTTAGCTTGATAGGTAGAGGTTTTAAGGGTCTTCGCGATGCATATGTTAGTTTTCTTTTTTTGTTAGGATTCACGGTGACATTTTCTTACAGTTTAAGAAACTCTCAGTATGTTTTATTCATGGTGGTAATCTATTCCTTTAAATTTTATATGATTAGTTAGATAAATTACTTTCTATTCTTTAAGTTTTGCATGAGTAAATACCTATATTATTCCTTGGTGGCACTTTATTAGATAACTATTACAGTGAGTTAACCATGTGATTATATCAATGTTGTGTGATGTGCAGGTTCTCCTATGTCTTTCCCCATTCCCGCATTGTAACTCGCATCTGCTCAGTCTAACCAAGTTCGTTATGCCACTTTTGAATCCATCGACATCACCGTCCTTTCTTATAAAGGTGACGTATTCCATTTCATCTCTTTTACTATTTATTAAATTTGCGTTTCATTTTCTCATTTTCTAATTATTTGTATTTAGATCATTCACCGCCGTTGTTTTGGTTAAACCTCAATAGATATTTCATCGGTTTCAACATTATTTGGGAAAGAAACGTCTCTGTTTCATTTACTAGCTTTCATGTTGTTGTTGCAGTGAAGGAAGTTGTGTTGAAATCGAAGTCGCTTTTAACTAAGGACAAGATTTTAGTTTCTATTACTGCTGGAATCAAGTTGAAAGAATTCAGGTAACAGAACCCAGTCATTCCAATGCTTTCTGCACTGTAGATTAGTTTGAAAAGAAACAACAAATACATATCATATTAGACTATGAAATGTTTGTTCATAATTATAATATAAATTAATTGTTCTTGTTTTTAAATCTTAACACACACCCCTCATGAAATAGCCCTGTGTTTTCCTACTCATGTTTATGCTAAAACTTCTCATCATTTTATCATAAGGAATCATACCTTATCAAGTTGTAGTTTGAAAGCAAGTAATATCTCTAATTTCACTTGATAAGATCAAATACTTGTATATATTATTAATTCAAAGTCACAGCTAGTTAGACTTATTGGTAAGGGCAAAACACATGAATCCAAAGAAACATATGTAAAACACATCATCCAATGGATATAGACAAAGACAACCTTAAACTATCTCTTCCATGAAATAACATATGTAAAATAGTTTAGCTCATTTATTTTATGTTTGTAATGCATGTTTAGATTAAAAGTTCACCAATTTATTCTATGTTTGGTATTGGAATGCATGTTTAGTGTATATTTAGAATATAAATGAAATTTTTATAATAACTATGCATTTGTAAAAGCTACGTTGATATATGAACCATGGTGTTTTTCCATACTTTATATGATAAAGAGTAATGTATAATTTATTTCATTTTAGAAAACCAAACATGATAAAGAAGGATTGGGTGGAGTTACCTCCACACAGTCAAAGTTATAAGGACGGTGTAAATTACTTTTTGGATATTGCATTCACCAAAGGAATGGTTGAAGAAGAAGAGATTTTGTGTCCTTGTTCTATATGTTGCAATGATAGTTGGGAAGTAAGAGATGTAGTGTATGACCATTTATGTAGTAAAGGATTTGTAAAGGGATACACTGAATGGATTTATCATGGTGAAGATGAGAGCCTTATAGATCTTGATGGTGATAGTGACGATGAAACATCATCTCATGATGATATCGATGGCTTACTATTTGAGACATTTAAAGATGTGGCTGAAGGAGGTGGATTACATGAAGGGATAAATGAAGATGCAAAGAAATTTTATAAACTAGTTGATGATGCAAATCAAGAGTTGTATCTTGGTTTTGAAAAGTTTTCCTCGTTATCATTCACTATTCGAATTTATTTGTTGAAATGTCTCCATGGATGGAGTAATGCATCATTCACTGCTCTCGTAGAGTTGTTGAAAGAGGCTATGCCAGATTTGAACATCCGTGTCTCTTTCAATAAAACAAAATCTATGATAAAAGATTTGGGCTTAGACTATAAAAAGATTGATGCATGTCCGAACAACTGCATGTTGTTTTAGAAAGATCATGGGAAAGATGATTCATGTCATATTTGTGGCACGTCAAGGTGGATTGAATATCCTGAAGTTGCTAATGATCTTAAAGAATCTATAAAAGCTCATAAGGTTCCCGCCAAAGTTCTAAGACATTTTCCATTGATTCCAAGATTGAAAAGACTTTTTATGTGTTCAAAGACAGCCGATACATTGAGGTGGCACGCAAACCATCGTTCAAGGGATAGGAAGTTAAGGCATCCAGCTGATGCCCAAGCATGGAAAGACTTTGATGCCAAACATTCATATTTTGCTCGTGAAACTCATAACATCAGACTTGGGTTGGCAAGTGATGGTTTTAATCCATTTAGGACCATGAGTCTTTCACATAGCACATGTCCTGTTGTATTAACAATATATAACTATCCGCCAAATTTGTGCATGAAGGCTGAAAATTATTTGATGTTGTTACTTATTCCTGGACCAAAGTCACCCGGAAATGAAATTGATGTGTATTTGCAGCCACTAATTGAGGAGCTTAAGATATTGTGGGAAGTCGGTGTAGAAACATATGATATTTCAAAAAATCAATCATTTCAAATGCGTGCAGCTCTTATGTGGGTTGTGAATGACTTCCCTGCATATGCTATGTTATCCGGTTGGAGTACTAAAGGGAAGTTTGCTTGTCCTGCTTGTAATCATAAAACTTCTTCAAGATACTTAAAACATAGTCGAAAGATGTGTTATATGGGTCATCGAGTCTTTTTGGATTCAAATCATAGTTGGAGATCAAATTCAAGTTCTTTTGATGGAAAGCCAGAATATAGGTCTGCACCCTCCTTGTTAGATTCAACAATGATTTTAAAAGTCTTAGAAAAGATTCCTGACATAGTGGGGCAAAAAATCATAAAAAAGGCCTGGTCCATGGAAGAAAAAGTCTATCTTTTGGAAATTACCATATTGGAAGGATAATTCTTTGCGCCATAATGTAGATGTTATGCATACAGAAAAGAAAATTTGTGATAATATAATTGGGACTCTCTTAGATATTGAAGGGAAGAAAAAGGATCATGCAAAAGCTCATTTGGACCTACAACACATGGGGATTAGAAAAAAACTCCATTTGAAGGAAACAAGTGATGGTAAGAAAACTCAAATACCTAAGGCGTGTTTCTCCCTAATAAAGCAAGAGAAAACTATTTTTTGTAATGTTTTAAAGACAGTAAAACTTCCTGATGGCCTTGCATCCAATATTTCTCTATGTGTTCAATTTAATGAAGGAAAAGTTTCTGGATACAAGAGTCATGATGCTCATATTATATTGCATTACTTGTTGCAAGTAGCAATAAGACGGATAGGCCCTAATCAAATTGTTATCCCTTTGCTTCGACTTTGTTCATTTTTTCGGTGTTTATGCCAGAAGGTTATAGATGTGAAAACATTGGATTACTTGGAAGTAGAAATTGATGAAACACTTTGCCAATTTGAGTGTATCTTCCCTCCGAGTTTCTTTGACATAATGGTTCACTTACAAATTCACCTGGCAAATGAAGTCAAATTGGGTGGACCGGTTCAATTTTGATGGATGTATTATATGGAAAGATATTTGGGTGATTTAAAATCTTTTGTTCGTAATAGGAGTCGTCCAGAGGGTTCTATCGCTGAAGCATACTTAGTTAAAGAATCTCTAACATTTTGTTCAAGATATTTGTCTAGTGTTGTAGACACAAGGATGAATATAATGACATGAAATAGAGATGATACTCCAAACATAGGTCATCCAATCGGGGGAAAGAAACTAATTTCCCTTGATCATAAGTCTCTAAACCAAGCTCACGGCTACATTTTATTCAATTGCGATGAAGTGCAAGAGTATATTAGGTACACTCATCTACTTGATACAAAATTTCATTCTCACTATAAGTTTTCTTTTTCTTTTGTATTAAAATATTAGTTATTTATTTTGTAGAGAGCATGAGGTTAATGATCATAATCCTCTAAAAAAAGGAAGTCCATAAAAACTAACAATCAAAGAGAAGATTTTATTCAATGGTTTGAAACACGTCTCATGGATGAGAAAGTTACTGAATGGTTGAAGGTGTTGTCTAGGGGACCAAATGATATTGTTAGAAGGTATTCTGGTTATGTTATTAATGGATACAGGTTTCATACAACAAATCGTGAAGCAAGGCTTAAAACACAAAATAGTGGTGTGACATTAGAAGCGGTGACTTAAGTTCTTAGAAATGCGAAGGATGAAAATCCCAAAAAGATTTGTGTGACTTACTATGGGGAAATAAAAGATATTATAGAGTTAGATTATTATGGTCATGAAAAATATGTATTGTTCAAATGTGATTGGTTTATGGATGAAAAGGATAAATATGGATCTCCGTTGGTTTACTTTAACAAAAAATGCTACAAAAATGATCCATTTGTGTTGGCATCTCAAGTTCAACAATGCTTCTTTATTGAAGATCCTTTAAACAAAAACAAACACTATGTTCTAAATGCACTTCCAAGGGAATCATTTGACATGGGAGAATCTTTAAGTACAGATGCCCAAGAATATGATATTTCAACAAATCTTAATACATTAAGGGATGATTGTGAAGTGGATTTGGTTAGGAAAGATTTTCCGGATGATATCTTTGAAATTCCTTTGTCAGAACTTCACAACCAAAAAGCAATAGAGAGTGATCATAGTGACACGAGTTATGGAAGTGACGATGAAACCGATTATGATTCTAGTACTGATTAGGTAGCATTGACAATGTGTTTTACCAATTTTTTTTTAATAGATTTTGAGTAGAAAATAAATTTGTTCAAAGTTTAATTTATGGTTACGCATGCTGTCATTTTTTTACTTAAACCATAACAAACTAGATTCAAATATACTGTTAATTTATGGTTATGCATAATGTCACTTTATACTCAATTTTTCATTATATAATTATGTAATTTTCCCCCATTGTAGATCATAGATGTTGGCCATAATGGACATTGTAAGAAGTGTAAAAGATGGTGGATCACATAGGAAGAGTGGTCGAAGTCCTACTAAAAGATTTGATTTTCCTCTTCAAGTAAGATCAAGTGCAGAATTGACAAATAAAGTGCTACAACATGTTAAGAAAGAAAAAATTGACAAGTTACATGAGATGCTATAGGGAAACAATAGAGAAAGGGTTCAGGAAATTATAGAAGTTGTGGACGGTAAATCATTTTCTTGTTTCATTTGATTTTATATAAAATGATGTATGTTAAAGTTATGTTTTGGAATTCCTTTAGATATATTATTCCTACTGTTTTTTAATGAATTTTTACAAAAATTAGAAACATCAAAAAAAGGAACTCAACAAGAAAGAGTTCAAAAGGTTGATCATAATTTGGACAAAGAGACTATTGCAAAGAAAATGGAGATAGACAAACTCTCACAACCAAAAGTAATGAAAGATCATGCACATGGTGACAAAGAAGTTGTACAAGGTAAGTGATTTTTAAATTTTTCTATTATGCATATATTACATGAAATTATTCCTAATACCTTTTGGTGAATTTTTAGTAAAATTAGAAACACCAAAGAAAAGAACTCAAGTGAAAGCTACAGTGAATAGAGAAAGAGTTCAAAAGGTTGATGGAAAGTTGGACAACCACATTGCTAGGAAGAAAGCAGAGAGACCTAAGCTTTTGCAACCACAAGCTAAGGATGTTTTTGCACATGGAAACAAAGAAGTTTCACAAGGTAGTTAATATCCCTGCATATACTTTAAATTTATATATTTCTTTTCATGATATTATTATGACGAGAAAATTACATTGAAACCAGGAATGCTGGAAAAAAGAATTCATGAGAATATACTAGAGAACAATAGAGATAAAATTCAAAAGGTGGAAAAACCAGTTGCAAGGAGAATACTTATTTCTTCCAAAAATAAGAAACCAAAGAAATCTACTCTATCTTTAGACACAATGATGTCAAAAGCTGAATGCTCTAAAAAGCTAAACAGGGTGCCAAAATGCCCATCAATGTTGATTGATGATTATGTAGATCTTCATAAGTCAAAGAAATGGATGAAACCAAGTCAAACAATGGAGAAAAACTGGGCAGCAGCGTTAACCGTAGCTCTAATCAAAATCAGCCAAAAAAAGGAACTCGATAAGAAAGTGTTCAAAATCGGGCAAAAGTCAACGAAGAAGATGCAATCACAAATAGAGAAGAAGAAAAAGGTAATTAGTTTCATATTTCATAATAATGATTTCATGTATTATTTACATATTGGTAGCAAACATGTGATATCATGTTGTTGTGTTGATTACTTTATAGAAACATCCCAAAGAAAAACTCGTGGGAAAACTTTGTGCAAAAAGATTCATGCAAGAACTTTGGAAGAGCGAGTATAAGTGACCTTTAATGAGGATTTTCAGCCAATTGGTCCTAGTGAAAAAGTAGTATCTGACTTGAACCTCTTCTTGGGAACATTGGCTAGTGTGATACGGTGGGAAGAACTGACTGTTTTTTGGAATGCTGGTTTGCATTTTGCATTTGTGTTCGCAAAATGTCGCGGTAAGCAAGAGTCGCCACCGACTTTTATTTTATCCAACAAGGAAAGGAAAAAAGCACAGAAAAATTCTTTTTTCGAGATATTTCTCGGGTTTGGGGGGTAGATTATAGAAAGGGAAGGTGTTAGCACCCTTTCTATCCGTGGTTATCCACAGGCTCTTAGGTACTTGCTCAAATGTTTTCAAAATTGTTTTCTTTGTGCTTGTGGGTTTGAAAAAGGTTTTGTTTGAAAACTTCGATTTAACTCTTGCTTCTGTCCTCAAGAGTGTAATGAAGTGTTTTGAAAACTTTGTTCGAAAAAAAGTGTAAGTGTGAAAAAGGTTTTTTTTTTGAAAGAGCAAGTATCTAAGAACCATCTACCTACTCGAAAAAGGAATCGTTCTATGCTAATTGCCTTTAGACACTGCTATCCTACTATTGATGAGTAGGAAGCACCGTCGTTGGAGTTTGAGGGTCAATTCGAATGAGGGACATACGGTCACTAAAGCAATGTTAGGACGCCTTAGCGGTAACCCTAATGTCTTAGATCATTTGTTTGAGGCAACAATATCCGAGGCAACTATGATCTCTGGACAAAAAGGACGACCACTAAAGCATCTTATACTCAAAGACCGTGTATGAAGGCAACCAAGTGGGGGTGTACCCTAAGAGTGCGCATGTGCGAGTGTGTCGTTTTCAGTTATTTTTATCTTTGTACATGTTAAGGGTGGTCTAAGTTGATTTTAGGTTAAAACATTCAGTCTTGTCATGCAAACCTATTATCAAACATCTAACAATTATAATTTGCGGAAATAAAATGCGGAATTTAAATTACAAGGCGTCGGGTATTTACATCGCCAAAGACAAACCCTTTTAAAAATAAATAAAGCGTTAAAAATAAATAAAAGTCCTATTAACTATTACAATCCAGGAGCAAGTACATTATTGGATAAAAGAAAATAAATCGCGGCGCAAAATTTAATCGGACACAGGATTAGGGTTTTGACCCTTTAAAGTAGACATCTTTTTGTTGTTTTTATTTTAAGAAAGAAATTAAACCTAAATTAATTACTAAATTAAACTAATAAATTAATTAATTAAAAAAATTATTTTTGGGTTTTTGTTATTTTAAGAAAGAAAAATAAAATAATTAACGTTAGTAATTAAAACCTAATTAAATCTAATTTAATTTTAATTTCTTATAAAAAATAGGTTAAAGTTAATTAAAACCTAAAAATTAATTAATTAGTGTTTATTAATAAAAATAAAAATTTGATTGAATAAAAATATTTTGTGGTTTTTTTTATTTGATAAAGAAAAGAATTTTTGATTGGTTAGTAAATTAAATAAAAATAATAAAACAATTAAAATAAATAAACAAAGAAAAATAAAAAGAGGGAGTATGGGCCTGAAATTTGTGGTGTAGATAGCATTTGGGAGGCCCATTAGAGCTGGCCTTGTTGGACTTTATGGAATCCCATGTGCACGCTTGGACTTGGTCTAGGGTGAACCATCATCTTTGGACCTTCAGATTTGGCCTTTGGTCATTTGGCAATTAGACAACTGATGGCGCATGGTATATTGCACGCTTGAACGAACACCTGATTACATGAAAAATAAAGAGAAAATGCAAAGCGCTGGAGGCAGGGATCGAACCCCTGACCTCCAGCCACTAACGCCTTGGAATTGGACTTGTTGACCACTAGGACACGCTGTCTCAATTGTTATATGAATATAAATGAAATATATTATATAAAAACAAAATCATATGCCAACAATTAAACAAAACGCGCGCATGGTTTGATTGGTGCAATGGATGGACGCCACGTATTATCTTTAACCTCTTGTCCGTGGCTAAAAATACACAGGCCTATACCTACGGACAGAAGTCCGTAGCTACAACATGGTTCATCTCAAAAATCTTCCTCAGGCCACAAAAATGAATTCCAAGGGCATGGTTGTGTTCGTCTCATCACCCCGGTCACAACCATACTCTTCTTGGTGGTCAATTATTCCTGAAACAAAAACGCCCAAAAATATCCAAGAAACCCTAGCTATGGCATTTTGCGTTACAGGTTAGATAAACAAAATTGAATGATGCAAATAGCTTGGAAATGTTATGAGTATTACAAATATGCAGTTAGTTTGTACAAATGATGCAAGAATGGAGAATTACTATCTCAAGAACAGAGCTAGGTATCGTGACACTTACAGCGCTTGTGAAGTCTAAGAGCGCTTGATTTTGATCCAGATCGCTTGTGTGAACACCCAGGGAATGATTGGGACAAGTCTTGGCTTCTGAAAATGCCTCTAGCTATGATTTTGATTTCAAGCTTTTTAGTGAATTTTTCAACTTTTGTCTTGCCTCTGCCTGCAGCTTCCAACCCTTGTCTCGATTGCTTTGGCTTCCTTATGTAGTGTGTAGTGTATTAGGGTAAGAATTATGAATCAAATCCTCTCATATCAATGCATACATATTTGATTTGATCTCCTCTTTAAAACCTTCCAAATCTGCCAAATTTCAATCTTTTTGCCCATGATTTTGTTTGATTCGAGTTTGATGATGATAATGATGATAATCAAAACCTGAAACAACCAAATAATCTTATGTAATCAAAGTTTTGGATTTTATATGATTTTATTTGATTAAAAATGAATAAATTCAATAAAAAATCAAATAAAATAATAAAAATGAAATATGAGCTCATGGATGAAGCTATAACACATGGACAATGATGCAAACTCAAATCAAGTGGAAAAGGATGGGCCCATTTGACAAAATTTGAAGTTTTGGGGATAGTTGACTTTTAGCAATTTTGCAAAATAGTCCAACTTCAACAATGCATAACTTCTTCAATTTTGAAATTTTGGAGGTTTTCTTGGACTTTTTAGAAAGCTTGAGATGTCCTCTAAGCAACCCTTTTGGTCTCATCTCATTTTTATATTCCATGCTCAAGTTATAAGCTTTGGCAAAAAAGGTGTTTTTGTTGACTTTCAAAAATGACCTATAATGTTCAAATATATAACTTCTTGTGAGTTCATTTTTTGATATTGGGATATGAAGATGGATTGTATGAAATTGCATACTCTTAAAAATGAGCTTTGGATGGGTCATTTTGCATAAAGTATGAAAAAGTTATGTTTGGTCAAAGTTGAGTTGACTTTTCCTACAAAACCCTAATTTAGCAACTTTTGAGTCTTGATGAATTTTGAGCAATCCT